GTTAGTAGTTAAAAGGAGAAGGAAAAATACAAGGAGAACTTCGTTAGTAGTTAAAAGGAGAAGGAAAAATACAAGGAGAACTTCGTTAGTAGTTAAAAGGAGAAGGAAAAATACAAGGAGAACTTCATTAGTAGTTAAAAGGAGAAGGAAAAATACAAGGAGAACTTCGTTAGTAGTTAAAAGGAGAAGGAAAAATACAAGGAGAACTTCGTTAGAGAAGGGAAAATACAAGGAGAACTTCGTTAGTAGTTAAAAGGAGAAGGAAAAATACAAGGAGAACTTCGTTAGTAGTTAAAAGGAGAAGGAAAAATACAAGGAGAACTTCGTTAGTAGTTAAAAGGAGAAGGAAAAATACAAGGAGAACTTCATTAGTAGTTAAAAGGAGAAGGAAAAATACAAGGAGAACTTCGTTAGTAGTTAAAAGGAGAAGGAAAAATACAAGGAGAACTTTGTTAGTAGTTAAAAAGAGAAGGAAAAATACAAGGAGAACTTTGTTAGTAGTTAAAAGGAGAAGGAAAAATACAAGGAGAACTTCGTTAGTAGTTAAAAGGAGAAGGGAAAATACAAGGAGAACTTCGTTAGTAGTTAAAAGGAGAAGGAAAAATACAAGGAGAACTTCGTTAGTAGTTAAAAGGAGAAGGAAAAATACAAGGAGAACTTCGTTAGTAGTTAAAAGGAGAAGGAAAAATACAAGGAGAACTTCGTTAGTTGTTAAAAGGAGAAGGAAAAATACAAGGAGAACTTCGTTAGTAGTTAAAAGGAGAAGGAAAAATACAAGGAGAACTTCGTTAGTAGTTAAAAGGAGAAGGAAATATACACGGAGAACTTCGTTAGTAGTTTAAAGGAGAAGGAAAAATACAAGGAGAACTTCGTTAGTAGTTAAAAGGAGAAGGAAAAATTCAAGGAGAACTTTGTTAGTAGTTAAAAGGAGAAGGAAAAATACAAGGAGAACTTCATTAGTAGTTAAAGGGAGAAGGAAAAATACAAGGAGAACTTCGTTAGTAGTTAAAAAGAGAAGGAAAAATACAAGGAGAACTTCGTTAGTAGTTAAAAGGAGAAGGAAAAATACAAGGAGAACTTCGTTAGTAGTTAAAAGGAGAAGGAAAAATACAAGGAGAACTTCGTTAGTAGTTAAAAGGAGAAGGAAAAATACAAGGAGAACTTCGTTAGTAGTTAAAAGGAGAAGGAAAAATACAAGGAGAACTTCGTTAGTAGTTAAAAGGAGAAGGAAAAATACAAGGAGAACTTCGTTAGTTGTTAAAAGGAGAAGGAAAAATACAAGGAGAACTTCGTTAGTAGTTAAAAGGAGAAGGAAAATACAAGGAGAACTTCATTAGTAGTTAAAAGGAGAAGGAAAAATACAAGGAGAACTTCGTTAGTAGTTAAAAGGAGAAGGAAAAATACAAGGAGAACTTCGTTAGTAGTTAAAAGGAGAAGGAAAAATACAAGGAGAACTTCGTTAGTAGTTAAAAGGAGAAGGAAAAATACAAGGAGAACTTCGTTAGTAGTTAAAAGGAGAAGGAAAAATACAAGGAGAACTTCGTTAGTAGTTAAAAGGAGAAGGAAAAATACAAGGAGAACTTCGTTAGTAGTTAAAAGGAGAAGGAAAAATACAAGGAGAACTTCGTTAGTAGTTAAAAGGAGAAGGAAAAATACAAGGAGAACTTCGTTAGTAGTTAAAAGGAGAAGGAAAAATACAAGGAGAACTTCGTTAGTAGTTAAAAGGAGAAGGAAAAATACAAGGAGAACTTCGTTAGTAGTTAAAAGGAGAAGGAAAAATACAAGGAGAACTTCGTTAGTAGTTAAAAGGAGAAGGAAAAATACAAGGAGAACTTCGTTAGTAGTTAAAAGGAGAAGGAAAAATACAAGGAGAACTTCGTTAGTAGTTAAAAGGAGAAGGAAAAATACAAGGAGAACTTCGTTAGTAGTTAAAAGGAGAAGGAAAAATACAAGGAGAACTTCGTTAGTAGTTAAAAGGAGAAGGAAAAATACAAGGAGAACTTCGTTAGTAGTTAAAAGGAGAAGGAAAAATACAAGGAGAACTTCGTTAGTAGTTAAAAGGAGAAGGAAAAATACAAGGAGAACTTCGTTAGTAGTTAAAAGGAGAAGGAAAAATACAAGGAGAACTTCGTTAGTAGTTAAAAGGAGAAGGAAAAATACAAGGAGAAGTTAATAGTACTTCCCGACGAAAGGCCTTGAAATGTCGAATTTCTCCTTGTATTTTTCAGGCAGTTGCATCCGTACCAACCGAAGTTTTTTGTTAATTTTTGACTTTCATTTAGCGAAGTAATGTGCTATTCTTACAAACTTTCTATTGTTTTTATAAATGACTACGAACTTCGAACTAAAAAAAATTCGAACTAGAATATGAATGTTTTAAAAGCTAATCAGCTTGAGATTTTTTAAACGTGATTGGCTGATCATATTATAATTCATTGTCAAATGGTTTTGTTTGGATTTCTTGACTACGCTGACACTTTACGCTTGATGTTTTAGGTATGGTTTCAAAATAGACGTGCAAAGTGGCGCAAGCGAGAAAAATCTCAAGGATTGCGAGCTCATGCTTCCATGAGTAACTTGGGTTCTAAAGAAATCATATCCCGCAATACTACATTGGATATGCCTACAGCAACCCCTGAGGACACCTTTCCTAAATGGTTCAGATTCTCACATCAACCTATACATCCAGCATTGACCATTCCCTATCCTGTTACCCCGATTCTCCCTCAATACCACCACACGCTATATTATAACCATCTGGACTACTTTACACCACCCTGTCCATCCTCATCACCACCTCATATATCACCTTCTATACCTATACAACAAGACTGCCGCACTGATAGTATTGCTACACTGAGAAGACGAGCTCAGGAGCAAAAATTATAGATTATTCATTTATATTGGTGGGTTTCAGTAAGCGCAAACGGTGGTCAATTCAGAAATGTTGACACACAAAATTAAATTGCATGCATTTCTCAATTCTATACTTTTTGCTTCAACACAAACTAGAGATAATTTCTGACTCTGTTAATCGCAGGTTAGCCACCATAGTGCTTACTAAAACTCACCCACTGGTGGACAAACTTTAATGACTTTAAACGTTGTATATAGAAATGAAATAGAAATTTAACTAAATTAAGTAAAGGGGGATATTCTTCATGCACTTGTATTATAAATCAACTACTAAGTCTAAGGAATGAAATTCGTTTCATAAATAGGGCGTGATAAAATAAATTATGTTACTTTGTAATTATTCAGTTGTTTGTGAAGAGTCTTCTTTTCATGTAGTCATTGTGACTTATTTTAATATTTTTAGTGAACGAGGGCTTTTGAAGTGGTGATTTTTCCCCAGTGTATTACGATCACATTGGCTAATCTACAACTACATTAATATTCACTAATTTCACCATAAACTTTCGCGGGGCCCCAGGCAAACGTTTGGCGGCCTATGACATCATAACACAGCATAAAGTGATACTTGGAAGCGCCTCTCTCCAGGGGCTTGAATTAAAAAATAGGCACACAACTACTAGCCTGCGTGACTGACGGGTCTTCGCCCTCCTTGTGTTCATCGGCAAGTTATCCCGGCCACGCAGGCTACACAACAACATGAGGCCCAACTCGCGAAGGGCTCGCTCAATTTTTGGCGAACTCTAATTGGAGGCAACTATCAGTTGGGAGCAGGGGCATGTTGCCTGTTTACCCCTTTGCCGCATCTCAGCGCCCGTGTGCACTACTCCACTAGGCTTGCAGGGATATTTTCTAGCATTCAGTGCTGTTTGGTCTGCTTCTTGTTTATGGCAGTTAAGTAATTTTGGGGGAATGTTTGTAGTAATGATATGCAAAACATATAAAACACCCAGTTTTGGTGACATTTGTTTTAAATTTTTCTGGTCTCAAGTGTAACCCAAGAATTGTGGTGGTGTTCATCCAGAATTTCATTTGCCCCCATCACATTAAATTTAGACTAGTCTCCTACGCAGCCTGTTCGCGGGTCCGAGGTTTTCTCCCCACGTACATGGGGAGAAAACCTCGGACCCGCGAACAGGCTGCGTAGGAGACTAAATTTAGACCAAATCTATTCTAGTTTGCGAACCCAGACGTCATTTCCTACGCTCATTCTTCACACTGAAAGTAACTTTCGTAGTTCGCACAGCGATTTATTCTTCCATACTCCAAGCGGCAACCGAACTTTGAACAAGTATTTGAACATTTTAACAAAATAAGTCCTGAGCTCGAGTGAACAGCACACTATAGTAAGTCTGAAAGCAAAAACAGTATATTGCAAGAGAATTAGGGCACGTGAACTTACCACCATGGTATATCGGAAAGTTACTTTCCGAGTGAAGAATGAGCGTGGGAAAGGACTTCTGGGTTCGCAGACTACATCTATTCCGGAATAATTGAATTTATATTACTTTTAAGTTAACCTTATTTTAACTCTTTCCAAACTGCCTCATCCTCGTTGCTCTCGCGTGGCCCTGGGGACGAGACTGTCCCACAAAATCTCGGTACCCAGGACCGACAAAAGTAGTTGGGGGGGGGGG